CGTTCATTCGTTCATACGTTCGTTCGTTCGTTTCACGCAATATATCGGACACACTGTTTCATGATTCGTTCATTTACTGAACGTTTACCTGCACTTCGGTTAAAACCTATGCCTAACCTAGAAAGAAATAATAAAACACCGTGCGTAGTATTAATTCTTTATGAATATTATATGTACATGATGTTTATTTTAAATTCTATTTTGTTTAATTATTTGAACAGTTTTTCTTAAAGTGCCTCAGTTTTCCATAAATGTATATTTTAAACAAACAACATTTTTCGTAAGAAAATTTATAATTACTATTACTATTTTGATTAATTAATATTTAAAAGCTTCTTTAATTTTAGTTAAGCTTATATTATTAACATGTATTAACAGTTGTAAATATTTATCTTTTTAATTTTGGTGTTTAGTTTTTATAAGCAAATGTCATTCACTGTTTGATAATTTTTGTTAAATACTTACTGTGACTAGTTAATGTACATTGTTAGATGTTTATTACTTCAAGTTGTAATATTGATGCATTTGGTCCAATTCTATTTCATATTAATTTAAGTTTTAAAAAATACTAAATATTTTAAAACTATTTTCACCTATTTTCTGACTATTTTGAGATAGCCACCCTTGTATTAATCACCCATTCATCTCAATATCCCGAATATATATTTATTTGTTTATAAAACCATTTTATTCCAAACCATCTTAGTCTATTCTTTATCATATTTTCTTTTTTCTCTGAAATAATATCTCTTATATATTCTGAATAAATAATATTCATTCCTTATTTATCTCCTCTTGTCAATTAATTTAAGTATCCCCACCTTCACTCAATTTTTATTCTAATTTATTATCTTCTATTTTTCAATTCTCAAAACCATACAAGAAAATTAGTTTTTCTATAACCTTGTATAACTTACCTTTCAACTTGATTTGAGTTCACTTTGGACTGCTTATTTAATTTATAAATTGTTAATTTAACTCCAAAGATTAAATTCTTATATAATTTTAAATAATATTATCAATACTGTTCTTTTTTAAAAATTACATTAAAATTTTTGTTATACAGTTCTACATATTATGATTTAGAAACAAAATCTGAGAAATTTTTTTTGTTTCTAACCTATTTCTTCTGTCAGTTACTACCTGCCCAGCTTTAGAAAACAGCCTTTCACATGGTACTGATGTTGCTACTATGCAGAGTCTCCTTTTTACAATTTCGTACAATCGTGGGTATATTTTTTTTCTTTCAGACCACCATAATAATGGATTCTCATGACGGTTTATTAATGGTTCTTTTAAATATTTATCCATCTCTATTATTGACGCTGCTGTTGAATTATTACTACCAGTTATATGATTAACAGTTTTATCAAAATCACCCCAAACTGCAGATGATGTAGAAGAAATTGGTTCGGCTGATATTAATTCGTAAGAATTGGGTAATTCATTTTCAGTTGTAATGGTTGATATTTTGTTTTTCAATTGTCTAATAATTTCTTTACATTTAATAGTATTAGAAAATGCATGGCTCTTAAACCTGGGATCAAGAAGAGTANCGCATGGCTCTTAAACCTGGGATCAAGAAGAGTAGCTTGACCAATTAAAAGATTATCTTCAATGGATCCAAATCGAATTAATAGTTTTTTTTTTAAAATTTCAGCCATATCATGTACCTCTTTTGGCAAACT